AACATAGTAATTCTATATAATGAACTTTTTTTTTGGCCAGAACCGAGGGTTCGTTATAGAAAGAGTAGACTGTATACTTGTTACTATGTTATAAACAGCATCCTCATATTAACAGATACGACTAATGATTTTAATTCCGTAAGTAGCTGATTTCTACTAGGTTGCTGCTACAATACCCTAGTATCGGAATAACTCTAAATTCCAATATTTTCTTATTGTATAGTATATATCTCCTTATTCACACAAAATCCTCGAGTAATATTAAAGCTAGTCTTGAGGTTTGAATGGTTTTGAATAAGACGATGAGTACTATAGGCTGCACTTGCTGTACAAAAATTTTTTTAACTCATAATACTTATTTGTAAGATTAAAATTTGTACGTATTTGCAATATTTACCATATCAGCTGGGCCATTTTTTAAAATAATTTTCTCAAAATTTTATCTTTTTTTTAGAAATCTTCGGACCCTTTTATATTCCCTGCTATCCGGCGTTATTAGCCAATCAAATTTTTGTAAATGAGTGCTTCCAAGGAATTGAGAGTTTTTTAAAGAACAGAAATAGATGTCACACAATCTGCACTCTAATATGTAATTTTTATTATACTGTATATATACTGTATTTTATAAATTACAACTCTAGCGCTAGTGCAGATTTGTGTGTTAGTTTATGATCCTCTGCATTGCTAAAGTTTTCTGTTTGGTATAATAAATTAAACATCAGACTTTATTTAATTTAGAATCTCTATTTCTTTCAAACGGCTAAATAAAAATGGGTTGTGAAGATTCTTTATGACCTGTAATCTATACAAACAATATATCATTAATATTGCTTATTATATGTTGCATAGGTTCATATGAATAATTATGAATCAATTTAGTGAAGCGAAACAATAATTTGAAGAGAATTTTGATATCATGTTAAATTGGTCTAATAAATTAGGCATTTTGGATCTGAGGTAGGACCGTTAATGTTACACATCTAATCATATTTAACATCCCTATATTGGAATCGGATCGTGTAACATTGAGATCAAATAAATTTATCATCAAATAATATTTTTCTTTCAAACTCTTCCTTTAAACAATGAAAAGAGTTTTAAATAGTTTCGTGAAATTACTTCAACCACATCGACCTCATTTTCCAGATCAGTTAGATGAGAACAGGTGAATGGGAATCGTACATAAAAATACTTCAATATTAATATTCTTCTAATTTTAACATGCATGGATTATAGTTTACCTTATAAAATTGGTTCAAAGATTACAATAAAAGAATACAATAAATTCCTTGAACATCAAGAGTCTTCTGGTTATAAATACCAACGAGAAAATAACGGCGATGTTTTTATAATTGATATGAGCGATGATGAACGTGGCAGGGTTGCCTCATTGTTGAAAGGTTATTTTAATTGTGCCAATAATGGTGTTTTTATTAATCCACCAATATATGTTGGTGGAGATGAATGTAAGTAAATTCTTTTAAACTGTTTGATCTTTAACATATAATTGATTTTCTGGTATTTATACTTTTCCTTTAGTTCATTATTGCCCCGGAACTAATTAACTAATTGCAGCAGATGTTTCGATATATCCAAATAGTAGTCAGGTCCAACAACCTCGTACACCATATCCTCCAGGAGATAAAAATGTACTTTTAATTTGGTATATTAATATTTATTTTGCGTGTGATATTTTAATATTAATATATTCGTGTAGAACAACCCACATGCTCGAATAGTTTGTGAAGTAGGTAATCGCCAGTCTACTGCAAATTGGAACACTAAATGCCAACTATGGATGAATCAAGTTTATGTACGATATGTACTTGGGATTAAGTTCCATAAAAAAGGACTACAAGAGATGATCAAGGACGATATCACAGATCGATAACAGCAAGGTTGTGGCAACAAGGTATAGCAAGGTATCAAGAGGTAAGATACTAATTTGTTAATTTGTGTTTATTTATTTTTTATAATTATTTAATTTTAGCATTTTTAGTGGGAGTTTGGAACTTATAGCCGAGGAACTAACAATCCTACTGCATGTAATGCACCTGATCTTCCTGCATTTGAAGTTAATATTCCAGTTTCGGAAGTTTTTTGGGATCCACCAATACCGGCTGTATTTGGATATGTACCAACAGTTCCTTCCTCAATCACTGCTGTTAATTTTAGCATTGATTTGTACCAAATTCAACAAATAGTCTTGAATGAGCAAGATAATACATAGCCGCCAAGAGACATGTCTCTCTCAACATTTACACTACTTTTATAACAATAATACCTTATCGTTATTATAAATGTAAATGCTCTAATTCATATATTAATTTATATCTCCAGTCGTTAAGAAACAAATTTGTTATTTCCCAGTAGTTAAAATTTAAAACTATAAGCGCCATAAGAGAAAAAGAAACGACATAGTAGTAAAATTTACTTCTGGCAAAATTAGACGCATGAACCGATGCCGATTTCTTTAATAATTCATCAGGAAATTTCGGAAAATGAAGAATTCCTTGGCGGCATTCATATTACAAGTCACTCTCGTTATAGTGAAGTGATCGGACCGAAATTTTCTTTACTATATATTAGTAAATTCACTATACCAAGAGGATTATATACTGTTCTTCACTATACTTATATATCGAGAGTCGAGAGTAACTTTTATCGAGTATCACGTGAATTTTGCTCTTAGAAATCAAACTAAATTTGTATTAATTTGTATTAATTTGTGCCGTTTTCTGAATAATTTATACGTTAGTTTTCACATACAGTAATTTGCATATCATGAACTTATCGTATTATGAACTTCTTGAAATACCTGAAACAGCAGCACATGAAGAAATAAAACAACAATATCAAAAATTGTTACTTATTGTAAGAGGGTTCTTTTTTCTAGTAAAATAACGGACGGAACTTAGTTAAAAATAATAAGACCTAGATTAAACTTAAAAAAAAAAGCATCATCCAGATAAATCTCAACGTTCTTTAATAAATTCCGAAGACACGAATAAAAGCGAAAAAGTAAATCAGATTATTGAAGCATGGAATATTTTAAAAGATCCAGAATTACGAAAAGTTT